GTCATACATCAGGGTAAGTATTGTTTAGTGAAGCCTTTGTTTGCTGTGTCTAGATGTAAAACTTATTTTAATTCTCAAAAAGTTTGAGAAACACTTGCTAGGATATCATGGCTATATTGAGTTCTTACATTCTAGGTGACACAGTTTGTCTTGTTTTATGTCTAAATCTATGTAATAGCAATATGCATTATGTTGAGAATTTTATGTAATATAAATTATGAACAAAATTCCATAAAGTACATATTCTAATCATGATTGATGAATAGCACTCAAATGCTACTTTCTGCAGATGAGAAAATTTTAGATATTTTTATATATATTTTTTTAGAGACAGGGTCTTGCTCTGTCACTCAGACTGGAGTGCAGTGGTGGGATCTGGGCTCACTGCAGCCTCAACCTCTTGGAGTCAAGCAATCCTCCTGCTCAGCCTCCCAAGTAGCTGGGACTATAGGCATGCACCACCAAGCCGGCTAACTTTTGTATTTTTTGTAGAGATGGGGTTTTGCCATGTTGGCCAGCCTGGTCTCAAACTCCTGAGCTCAGGCAATCTACCTGCCTTGGCCTCCCAAAGTGTTGATATTACAGGTGTGAGCCATTGTGCCAGGACTACATATTTTTTTAATAAATGAAATTTTAAGATGATAATTTTACCTCAGGTTTTAGATTGGTAGTGAGCAAAATGTATATGTCCAGATCACCTAGAGAATAAAATATAATGTGGGAAAATTTACATTACTCACTAAATTGATGCTTTGTAAGCAGTAAGATTTAATGAAGGGTACAAACAAAAAAGTTAAGAAATATTTGATATCTTAAGGATGCCAAAGCAAATATATATATATATATATATATATATATATATGTATTTAGGCTGATTTGTATGCTGGTGAAACAAATGTTTCGAATAAGCAAAATGAATGTTGGGTCTTTAATGTTTGTTAAATTCATTTTTTTTTTGAGAAACACTTTACAAAATATACAACATTTCACTAAAAAGTAGCTTTTAAAAGTCCAGTTTCATAAATACTGAGTTCTTCCTATATGCATAGGATCTGAGTTAGGTCAGAAGATATAAAGATATGCAAATTACTTACCTGGCTTTATGTCGTGCATATGGATCAGAGTGATTATAATTTCAAAGGGTTGCAACTATTTCCACTTTTCTATTGTATATATAGTGGTCCCTCTCTATCTGTAGGTTCCACATCCATGCATTCAACCAACAAGATCAAAAATATTTGGAAAAAAATACCAGTAAAAATAACAATGCCATGGTAAAGATAATACAAATAAGCAATACAGTGTAACAACTATTTACCATTTATATTGTATTAGGTATTATAACTAATCTAGAGTTGATTTAAAGTAAATGAGAGGATGTGTGTAGGCTATATGAAAACACTATATCATTTTTTATAAGGAACTTGAGCATCTCAAATGTTGGTATCTGTGTGGGTCTTGGAACCAAACCCTGCAGATACCAAAGTATGCTTATACCTACAGAACTGTCTCCAACAAGAATTCAATATTACTATTGCTAGGATTGAGGCCATAGTAAAATGCTATAATGCTAACAAAATTATTTTACATTAATTTTAAAAGTTACACATTTAATTGTTTATTTCTAAATCTGGGGGAAGCAATTTTAAGAATAGATGTAGATCCTGTTTTAGAAAAAGACTATCCACAATCTTGATATATGAAAGCCACTTTTCTGAACTTCAATTATCTGCCAAAGACGGAACTTTAATGGCAGAAGCAAACATTGTATCACTGGATCTATTAAAAAACCAGAATTATTGTTTCTATAGGATAGAATCACTTAAGGAAAGAATATGCAAATAATAATCTTCTTGGAAGTTTTATATTTTAAACATGTAAAATGCCATCAGTTCATTGTTTTCTTTCTCAGAAAGGTAGTAAAAACACTTTTAATGAGGGTTCAACTAAACTGAACCTTTCTTTAATTACATTGTACCCCTCCAATGCATATTTAAAGGAAATTTTTTTTTTTTTTAGACAGAGTCTCGGTCTATTGCCTAGACTGGAGTGTAATGGGGCAATCTCGGCTCACTGCAACCTCCACCTCCTGGGTTCAAACAATTCTCCTGCCTCAGCCTCGCAAGTACCTGGGATTACAGGTGTGTGCCACCGTGCCCGGCTAATTTTTGTATATTTAGTAGACACGGCGTTTCACTGTGTTGGCTAGGCTGGTCTTGAACTCCTGACCTTGTGATCCACTTGCCTTGGCCTCCCAAAGGCGTATGGGTGAGCCACTGCACCCGGCCAAGATTAATTTTTATAAAAAAGTTTTTCCAGGGTAAATTTGAAGTCAGGAGTCATTGAAAGGAACCAAAATGTCCTTAACATCTCAGATGCTAATAATGTTTCATAAATTGATATTATTTATTCTGTACACATGGAGACTATAAGGAAAACTGCTATTTGTAGGAAAGGTAGCATTATGCAGACATTTAGAAGAGGTCCTTTGCCTGATGTAATCAGAACTAGTGTGAGCCAGTTAACTGAGAAAACTGAATTAAAGTGGGGAATTACAGAAAAAAACTAGTCATCTTAACAATTGAACCTAAAACAAGTAAAAATATATCCATTTGTCTGTCTTTTATTTTAAGGCAGGGTTTTTCATTGGGTATAGTTTCTAGTTGCAGATTCAAGTTGTCTTACTTGCATCAGCCTACATAATTATTTTGCTTTAATTTAAAAAGTTAACACATTTAATTGTTTATTTCTAAATCTTGGGGAAAACAATTTTAAGAATAGATGTAGATTATGTTTTAGAAACAGACTGTCCACAATCTTAATATATGAAAGCCATATAATTTTCATTTGTATGTATGCATTGTTTGAAGCTTCTGACAACTTGACACTAAAAAAACAAGTTTCTTTCAATCAAATTCCTATAAAGGTTTTATGATATCATTGTACCACACGTAATTAATCAAATGTTTTCTTATTGTCATAACTTCTCTTGTTGATTACATGTTATCTGTTAATACTGATTCTCTATGATCAATTACCACTTGAGTGCTAGAACGCCTCTTGGAGCTACAATCTTTAAAGTGACTCCTTCTTTTCACATACCTTCGCATTTTCTCCCTCAAGTCTTAATTCCCTTTTTTGCAGTAGAAATGCTCCAGAGCTTTTAGTATTTGCCTCAGTGGTATACTGTGTATACTGCCACACTGAATGTGACCCTATATTATTTACCAATATCCTTGGAAAATATTAATCTGTTTATTTTGAGAAACCTCAGTTAGACTTCCCAATGATTCTTTTTAATATTGACATGACTACTATCCAACTCATCTTTTTGTTGTTCTCATAGTTTAGGTTGGGGTGGTTCCATTTAACTTACACCTTTATATTTCAACCCTGATCTTTATCTTTATCTCTGGGATGGGTTTTGAGAATTACTCTGTGACATTCACTTTCAGATATTTGAAAGCAGCTTTGCTTCATTGCAAAGTTGCTCTCAAAAGCTGACAAGAAAGGTAATGCTAGTTCTTTAAGTTCTGGTGCTGTCAATACTCTAGGGATTGTTCTTTCATTGATTTGTATTTGTACTTGATTTTGTGCTGTGATTATTTTTAAGCTACTTAGATTGCTAGCAGGGAAACCAAACAATCAATAGTCAGTGCTTTTGTTGTATCTGTATTATCATATGCAAATTCTACAGATGCCCTGAGCTCTAAGTAAGCGGTAAAGGTCAGGCTCTACATGACTTGCTTAGCAATGGATGTTTAGAAGTTTGGTATACTTGTAGTTTTTCAGGTGGTTAATTCTAAAGTCCACTTAAAACCAATGCTGTTTTGCTATGAAGAGTAAAACAGGCTACATTTTAAGTTGATTTTATATAGATATTTTAATATTTAAGAACGATACTTAATGTTACAATCTTAATATTCACTTTTAAGATTAAAGATAAACTTATGAATACTTATGAAGTATTCACTATCATTCTAGCTAAGATCGGTGTTATAGTAGAAGGTAGTTATTTCTGTCAGATTCTTAGAGGGCCTACACTGACTCAAAGATTACATGCTCTAGATTGACCATCTCCGGATATACATATTTTAAGTGGATTCTGTCAAGCAATTCCTTTGCTCCTCAAGCTCTGGTAAGAGAGCCAGGCTCGAATACCCTTGCAAATGAGAGAAGCCCCTGGTTTGTTTTCTCTCATTATGAAAAACCGGGATCAAGGCATGTTTTTCAGCTGCTTCGAAGATGGTTTATTCTGGCAGGTGGAGGAGGGAAACTCTATACACAAAAAAGCATTTAGGGCACGACAAAGATGTCAAACAGAATAAAGAGCCAAGTACAATTCTTCCCCTCACCGCCCAGTCCCCCGTCCTGCCGGGAAGAGCGCGGAGAAGCGACTTAAAGGTACAGGCTGTCTACACCCCCGCTGGCTAAAAAAGCTTGCAAATCAATCTTTTAAAATGGTTTATTGTGTTTTCCTCCATTCCTCAATAATCTGAGTGATGAGAAGACTAGACTGTTACTGTGACTTTATTACAGCCATCCATAGTCGTATTTTTAATTTAAACATCCACAAGGCACTCAGCACAGCACACTTTTCTGCGTGGATTGCTGCTCGCCGCTTCCAGGAATACCTTCCCACCCAGACCAAGAAAAGCAGCTCAGTCCAGCGCCTCCCGTCCCGCCCCGCCCCAAAGGGAGGTGCCCAGCTCTCCCCGCCCCTCGCCCTCGCCCCGCCCCGTCGCGTAACCCGGATACACACCCACGCTCCCCTTTCACCTCGCGGCCGTAGGCTAACGTGGAAGTCGGACCGGCAGGCCGGCGGAAGAGCCTAGACCGTGCTGCCTGGCGAGTCAGGCGCGCGGGGCGGTGTCCGTGCTCTCGGCGGCGCGGCTTGGCCTTTCCTGGGAGGGAGTGATGGGGCGCACCGGGGCGGGGGAGCGGACGCCGGTGTAGCCCGCGCGGCGCCTGGCCCGGAGCGCGGCAGCGGCGGCGGGCGCGGGGAGGCCTTTGAGAGCCGCAGCCCGGAGCGCCCGGCCTCCCGCGCCATGGCACCCATGGGCATCCGCCTTTCCCCACTGGGGGTGGCCGTGTTTTGCCTGCTGGGGCTCGGCGTGCTCTACCACCTCTACTCGGGCTTCCTGGCTGGCCGCTTCAGCCTCTTCGGCCTGAGCAGCGAGCCTGGCGGCGGCGCGGCGGGACCCGCGGCCGCGGCCGACGGGGGCACCGTGGACTTGCGCGAGATGCTGGCTGTGTCAGTGCTGGCCGCAGTCCGCGGCGGCGACGAGGTGAGGCGAGTCCGCGAGAGCAATGTCCTCCACGAGAAGTCCAAGGGGAAGACGCGCGAGGGAGCCGAGGACAAGATGACCAGCGGCGACGTGCTGTCCAACCGCAAGATGTTCTACCTGCTCAAGACCGCCTTCCCCAGCGTCCAGGTGGGAGCCCACGGGCGGTGCGCCCACCCGAGCCGGGGAGCGCGTCTCGGCCCGTCGACTCTGAACAGTATGGGGTGTGGAGCTTCTGGTTCCCATTTTGTAGATGTGGAAATTGAGACGCAGAAGTTAACGTGCACAAGGTCAGACAAACAGCAGAGGAGCTGGGTGAGGTTGCATGTAGTCTGACTCAGGGCCCGTGCCTTTTTGGCTCCTCCTGGGTCGGGTGTGCGCCGTGTGTACTTAGGATCAGGAGGCCTCAAAACGAAAAGGCTGAGAAAGTTAATTGCACCCGCGGCTTCAGGCTCTTCCGTAGAATGAAGGGGTTGGCTAAAATCCCCCAAGACCTTCTATCCTTCCTTGATTTCATCCCTAGAAGGGTCGAAACTGGAGTACACATTTTCTGGCTGGCTGGCCAGTAGCCAGCTGAAAGACCGAGTCTTGTTGCAGAGCTATTAGCGCGCGGTGGTGGGGGTGGGGGTGGGGAGGGTGGGGGTGAGTATGCTCATTTCGCCGTAGTTTTGTCATGACGCTCTTAAGTTTATAGTTTGCGGGCCGTTTAAGGAGGTACTTAGAAATATACCAGCTGTTGATGCTACCTGGCCCTTGATTAAAGATCCATGTTTACTCCAGAGAATAAGAATGAAATAACATTTGCCTTTTCTTTGGGTAGGTTTCTAGGAAGGGAGTTGACATTTTCTTAGGGAAATCCAGACATTTTGGATTTGTTATTAATACTTTTTGAATTCATAATTTCAGTGGAGTTGCTGTTGAGTTGAATAAAGCATTTTTAAAATTTACAGTTCCAGGAACTGCAAATTTTGTTGAGGAAGAGCTGAACATAGTGTAGCAGCACCTTATTAATGTATATCTTAACTCACCTAACTGTAGTTTTGGCTACTGGGAAGAAAAATTGTCTTCACTGAAATTTTAGATAAACAGTGATGTGCAAACCCAGGCTTCTTTGGAAGGTGACTGACCTTTTACTGCTGATCTTGAAAGAGGAGAATATTGTCATTGTTTAATGTATTTTGTGTAAGGCTTCTTCCAGTCTGTCATAATATTGCTTTGGTTTTGCTTTTTATTCTCCTCTCTTCCTCCCCTTTCTTTCGTCTTTTTCTTTTTTTCCGATGGAAAGGAACGTTGGATTTCCTATCATGAGCTACTGGATACCAGATGTAATTAACGTTCGAATTTTTTTTTTTTCAAATTTCTACTTAAAACACAGAATATTTCCACTTTTTCTTTTTCCTCTACTCTGTTTTTATCATCACAAATAACACTTGTCTTTTTTTGCATCTAGATGTAAGATATGTTTATGAACTATTTTACCGCCTTTCCAAAACATATGTGTTTCCTTCCCCAAGAATGTATAGAGGAAACAGGAGATTCAGAGAAGTTGTTATTTAATAGTTTTAACAGTACTAATAATAACCATTTATTGAATATATTCTACGTGCCCAAATACTGACTACACAGGACTTCATTTGATAGTTACAGCAACTTTAAGAAGTAAATTTTATTTCTGCCTACTTTACAAATGGGAAATCTGAGGCTCATGACACTCCAGCTTATATGAACTATCCAACATTTTAGCTATATCTTTAGAAGCCTGCTTAAAACTTATAATTTTAGAAGCTTAAAAGCAATAATAGTGAAATGTAGCAAGCAGAGTTGATTTTTTTTTAAGTAAAAACAAAAGTTTCTTAAATGTTGAAAACCCATCTGTATGTGTGTGCATTCTCATTTATTAGCAAACAATAAGGGAATGGCTGCCAAGGGTAGTGAGCTGCATTTTATTAAACACAAAAGCCAAGCTTTTGGAATTGCAGATGTTGAAGTCTCTGGCTTCATATAAAACAACTTTTTGTTTTCTTGTGACTATTTGAATGTTTGCATGTGCTTCTGCAGTATTCCTGTTGGGTCATGGCTGAAGGAATAGAGGAGGTTTGTGTTCATTTATACAGTGTCAAAGTGGAGATGGTATCATGTTGAGCGATCTCCTTATACCCCTGTGTTATAGGCTAGAGGCCAAATATTCTAGCCGTCTAAGTGGAGAATCAACCTAAAAGAATCTTTCTCCTTTTGTGCCTTCCCCTCTCCTAATGCCCAGAAGTACAGTCTTAAATGCCTGGTTGATTTTGAAGCCTCACCCCAAATTTCTTCGTAAGAAACTTAAATTATATTCCACTTACTTTACTTCCTAGTGGAAAAAGACCTTTGAGAAGCATCAGATACTTCTTTCTTTTATCCTAGTGCCCTGTGTAAATATAGAAAGATCTGTTTTCTCCCGTTGCTTTCCTATGTAGAGTCTAAAGTCTGAGCTTTCATATCTAATGTTCACTCCTCAGTAAAAGGATATACCAGGGATTTTTCTGGAGCACTCAGCTGGAGACAGTTTGGTCCCCTAACTGACATTTGACAACATCAGAAGACATTTTTGGTTGTCACAACCAGGGGTGGGATGCTATTGGCATCTAGCAGGTAGAGGGTAAACATCCTATAATGCACAGGACAGCCCCCTACAATGAAGAATTATCTGCTCCATTAGTCAATTGGTGCCCAAGTTGAGGAATCATACTCTAGAAAAGTGAGTGCTGTCTAAACAAAACTCAAGTTTCACCTAGGCTCCCTGGGTTTCCTTTTGTCTTCAGTTTTCTTCAGGTTAGAGATCCCAGAGAGTCCTCCAGGCAGCTAGTCTCCTCTTCCTAAACACTTTGGCAGTGCTTATTTCATTGTGTCAAAGTAATAATAACTCCAGCCATTTGTATGGCACTGTCTCTTTATCCTTGCAGGTAACAGTGAAAATGAAGATACTTTTGTGGAGTGACTTTGCAGCCACAGAACAGACAAACTTAGATTTATAGTTTTGATTTAATGTACAGGGGACTGTCTGTTTGAGGGGCTCCTGTCCTCAACTTGATTTGTTCAAAGTTCTGATAGTGACTTATTTGAAGGTAAAGCATGGTACTCCAAGCTGGTAGCAGCAACTTGGGTCTGTGTCTTCCTTGACCTATAAGATGGAAGTTATGCTTCTGTCTTTCAACAGAAGTATATCCCAGAAAAGTTTGAGAAGCACTAATATAGTGCACAGAACACTTGCATTGACATCTTGTGCAGTCATCAGCCTAAGTGATACTAGCCAGTCATTTAACTTTTTTGAACCATAGTGTCCTCTTCTGTAAAATTAGAATAACTAGTAATTGGTGTAGACATAAGCACTGAAAACAGAAGCAAAGAAACTAGTTCAAAGGAACAGGCCCAAGAGAGATAGTAGGACAGCTAATTCATGTAATCTAATGAGTTTGAGTAAAATGCACTTGGGAGAATTATTGTGGAAGAGATTGGGAAGGTAGGTAGGGGCTAGGTCATATTCCAAGCTCAAAGGAATTTGGACCCAATCCATAGTTTACTACTAGAATACTAAAAGAAGGCCAGATTTAGCTGACTTTTCTTGAGGCCTCAATAAGCCATACTTTGGGCTTTGGGCATTTGGAGATAGATAGGGACTAGTTAGAGACTGTTAGAACAGGCCATGTGAGAGATGAGGACCAGGACTCAAGCGGTAGGGAAGTTTTGCTGAGCTTGTTTTACTAGCTAACATTTGCATAGCCCTTTGCAAGCCACAAAAATTTAATTAAACTTCTTAATGACATTATTAATTTTATCTTCACAACAATAAAGGAGGTGAAGTACTACAGCCTCTATTTTTCAGATAAAGGCTTGGAGAGGCTAAATAATTTGCCAAAGATTGCCCAGCTAGAAAAAAACTTTTTTTTTTTTTTTTGAGATGGAGTCTCACTCTGTTGCCCAGGATGGAGTGCAGCGGTGCGATCTCGGCTCACTGCAACCTCTGCCTCCCAGGTTCACGCCATTCTCCTGCCTCAGCCTGCCGAGTAGCTGGGACTACAGGCACCGCCACCACACCCGGCTAAGTTTTTGTATTTTTAGTAGAGACGAGGTTTCACCATGAGAAGAATCTTAGACTCGCTGAGATTCACTTAATGGTCAGAGAATCATCTCAGGTCTGTTTAATTCTCTATATAAGGCAGTATAACAGATGTAACAGAAGTATACTCTTAACTATAATGTTATAAATGAATGGAAGGACTCAGAGTAGTTGCTTGGAGGATGGTTTGGAGGGGAGGAAAGTAAATACTGGGAGACCAGTTAGGAGGCTTTTTCAGGTGAGAGCTAATATCTTTTGAATTAGGGCTGTGGTTGTAGAGAAGATAGATGTAGAAGGAAATGAAATAATTTTTAGGGATATGTTAGAAATAACTCCTCTATTTATAGCTTTCACAACTGGGGTTTTGTTGCTAGTGAAGGGGAGTGGTGGTTAAGTTGGGGGGCAGATTATGAATGCCATTTTAGACTTGCTATGTTAGAGATGCCTTTGATATGTGCAAGGGGAGCTGTCAAAGAGGCAGTTGAATATCTGAGTCTGAAGCTCTGAAGAAACATCTGAACTGAAAATACAAATCTGCCAGTCATCCGTGTTGTGATGTTAATTAAAACTGGTTGTGGACAGAATTGGTTAGGGAGAGAATATAACATGAAAGGGGAATATCAGAGCCTAGAACCAAGGATAATGAAGACTGAAAACAATCATTTAACAAGAATAGTAGCAGCCAGCCTTTATTAAATGTTTACTCTGTGTTAAGCATTGTACTAAGTTTGTTTTACCTTTTCTGTTTCATTCTTCTTAAGAACCTTACAGGGAGATAGATCATTGTCCCTTTTTACCAATGAGGTGATTGTAGCTCAGAAAGGTTAAGTGACTAGCCTAAATTATTCACATACCCAGTAAATTGAAGAGTTGGCATTTGAACTCAGGCAACCTATGATTAGGAGGTGAGGAAATGGAGACAGTGAGTAAAGACAAGTCTTTTGAGAAATTGGGCTTTTGGCCAGGTGTGGTGGCTCACGCCTGTAATCCCAGCACTTTGGGAGGCTGAGGTGGGCGGATCACCTGAGGTCAGGAGATTGAGGCGATCCTGGCT